CATGTTAAATTCAACGAAAACGAGAGGCCTACACATAGCCTTGAGGAAAAATTTAACTATCCTTCCCTCACCACCTCGACCGACCCAGGGTGACCAAGGGTTGTATTTAAAATCTAGTGATAGCTTCAAAATCCTAGTTTATTCGAATAAATATAATGCAAAAAGACGGCAAGAAGGTAGTTTTATGCAGATGCCCCTGTTTGTATGTAGGCAAGGGCGAAATTGTGGTCCAGCCTGGATTAGATGGCCTATTGGAAGGTAAGAAGACTAAGTGAAATTCAATTGAATCCTGAGGCCTAGTTATCTCATAGTGAAAAGACTCAATTAACAGTCTTTAACTCACAGCAAACTACCGAGGAGGGCATAGCTCTCACAAAAAAATAAACGATGCGCTTCCCAAAGATTGCATCAGGTGATGTTATACGCCTAGCCTCGTTATGATTGTAGGAAAAGTCAACTACCAGTAGATCTTTTATATAAGAGCTGTATTTGATCTATTTCGCAATCAAATAAGTAGGGCTCCTATTTTCATTGTCTTGCTTGCCAAAAAGTATTATCGTTCAGACAACAGTGGACCTCGCCTAAACCGGTCCCACTTGCACCCCCAGCGGGACTCGAACCCGAGATATGGTAGTGCCAGATTGCTACTAGTGCCCTTGCTCCACACTGTAGAGGTGAATTTCAAGGAAGCCTAGGCCTTTCCTATATCACATCTGTGTCAAGTTGAGACTATACGCCCCACTATCTAGGCTCGAGTCCCGTTGATGGTGCTGAGGAGATCTAAATGAGGTCAGAACTGCAGTCCACTTCAGCCTAAATGAAAATACCTTCTGGGAAGCAATGTAATGTGAGATTCAATTGACATTAAGCATACTCATAGCATTGTTGGAAGATTGAATTACCAGTACTTCATCATCTCTTGACAGATCCGCGTCCCGACGGAGGATGGGAAGATCGACTTGCACTAAAATGGGACTCGCCTGAGTTGATGCAAGGGCCATACTTCGATTGGCGTAGGTCAACTAGACAAAATATTTCGTTTATAGAGGTAAGTTGACCTCGTTGTCGCAACTTAGTCTTGTTATCTGGGAGACTTAGTAGAACGCACCTAGTCCGAAGCCCACGACCATAATAGTTATCATAATTCTCAGCAACAGACAGTGGACTTTGTACATTCTCAAACGTTTCGCCAGCATCGTAGTCGATATCATCAGTGACGGCTGCCATTCTTCGGACCAAGCTACGAAATCGTCAAAGAGACAAGTGAAGTCAATCCCTCGACAAACGTTCTGCCGAAAACGGTCACACTGTCTGATGCTGGGAATTATGATAACTACTATGGCAGATGACTTCAGACTAGGTACGTTCTACTAAGTCTCCCGGACAACAAGGCCAAGTTGAGACAACGAGGTCAACCCACTTGTATAAATCGAAGGGGGACTGCAACCATATCAGAGACCACACCATCTTGGTCCTCATATCTTCGATAAAACATTTCGTTGCTGGCAAGGAAAGGACGAATTGCAAAATGGGTGAGTCGAGATGAAGATATCTGGATTGGCTGACAAAATATAAGTAAGTAGGGTATTGAGACGTGATCACAATAAACGAAATAGGGAAAAAATAAATTGCGTATAACTGGTTTAGTGCTATAGCAATTAAAACTTTGTTTCATCGATAATCTCATCAAAGAATGTGAATTGGGAAAATGCCTGGCCTTCCTTGAAATGCATATCTGCCCTGTGACCCAAAGGCATTCGTAGCAATGTGGCGTAGTAGTTAACTCGTTGAGATTACATACTGCAAATGCTCGCGGTGTTGATAAGACCCAGGTGAGTTCAAAACTACAGCCCACCCTGGATGAGAATAGCTCTGGGAAGGCAAGGCTATGTGAAATTCAATGGAAGAGTCAGCCCTACCCATATCAAAGTGAGAAAATTCAACCGCCAGCCTCTCATCACCTTAAGCGAAATATGGTGAATACATCTCATATAATGAAGTGTATTCATCCTGTTTCGTTTAAGGTGATAAGAGGAGGACTGGTAGTTGAATCTATCCGAAACATAAGACAAGGCAAGACGAGACGAGACAAGACAAGACCCACTCACCTTTATCAGACTTGAGACGTCTTCATTTGTCGCATCGGCCTTAACGGCGCTGCCTGTCGCCTCTTCAGTCAAAGCTTCCTCTGCGACTGTCGCCTCAATAATCTCCCGAGGCAACGGTCTCTCCGCTCGGCGACAAGCAAAAATTCCGGACTCTGTGAAACCCTCTGCCGCTTGCCGGCAGTCCGGATGAACGCAAACATGCGAGCCGAGAACCTCACGCAGACACAGGCGATACCGGCGCTGCTCGACGGCCGGTCGACTAGAGGTCGTCCTGTCAACGCCCACTGACACCAACATGTCGGCGGTCTGTAGTTGGCCGCCGGGGCTGGCTGAAAACTGGAGGCCTGCCGCACTGGCTGTTGTCTGAATGGAGAAAAAGAAGGTCGGTCAATGAGAGGAAAGCCAAAGCTGGGCCAACTACATTGTCCAGATGCAAGGAAACCTTTGGCTTCTTAGCTTGCCATAAAATTGTAACGAGCAATCAGGACCTCGAGAAGCCGTAATGTCTGTCGCCCAACTGAAGCGCCGTCCAACTCCGGGTTAGCAGAGGAGGTGGACGGTCAAAAGTTCGAGCCCCATCGGAGCTTTCGAAACAAGCTGAAGCACAACTGGGTTGCGAAGAATCCCTTTGTGAGTTGTTGTGACTCGACTTTCGAGTTTAACGAAAAAGTTGGCAAGAAGGAATTCGCGAAATGGTTGCATCGGAAACCGAAAGAGTGAAGATCGTTGAATTATCCGTTTCATAAGTGGATTTTCAAAACTACCAGAAGATCTGATATAAGAGCTGTACCCACCCTATTTCGTTTAAGCAGATGAGGAAGTTACATTTTCTCACAAGTATATGAGTAGGCCTCATGTTTCCCCTGAATTTCGCATAGCCTTGTTTCCAAAGGGCTGGAATGAACTGGATTGCAAGCTCGACCTCGCTTCGGTCTCATTCCCACTCCAAGCGGAACTTGAACCCGGGTTGTGTTAGTGCAGTGTATAATCCCAGTACCTTATACCCCAACGCAACACTGCTATGAGTGCCCTCGGGTCACATGACGGAAATAAATTTCAAAGAAACCTAGTACTTTTCCATATCACATTTCTGTGGTGGTATTGTCGACGGAGCAAAGTTTTATTTGCTATAGCAATCGACCACACTACCGCATTCGTTTCATTAGTAGGCTATCGGTAGATCTGAAATAAAGGCTACATTCACTCTTCATCCCCTTAAACGAAATACGAAGAATGTAACTCTTATATCAGACCTACTAGTAGTCTCTAAAACCTACTTATGATACAAAAAATAAGTAATGTGGTCGGTTGTAGTAAATGAAAGTTTGCTTCGTCGAGAATCCTACTCTAAAAATGTGATATTATAAAGGCCTGGTCTTTCTTGAAATTCACGGGAGACTTCGCGGAAATGTGGCGTAATATTTTACATTTAGAGACTCTATGTAACACTTTCGCAACCCTGGTTCGAGTCATACTGTGGGTGCTGATCATACCAGCTCAACAAGGTCAAAACTACACACTCCTGGCCCGACGAAAATACCTCCTGGCAAGTAAGACTATGTGAACATCCATGGAAACGTGAATTCTACTTATATGATTGTGGGAAAATTCAACTACCAATCCTTTATCCCCCTACAAGCAATGGGGTGAATACAACTTTTATACTATTAAATAGTGCCTGCGACATCGAGTAACTCGTTAGTCAAGTGACAAACTACATCAAAACACGAAACCATACTTTGCTAAATAGCGAACCATTTTAGTATTTTGGCGCAATGTTTCGTGCTCTGATGAAGTCGCTCACATAAAAAACGGCCCCACCTGGGTCGTAGGCACGATTCAATAGTCTTCAATCTTTCGCAACTTAGTCATATTAGCAGGAAGACCTAGAGGAACGCCCCTTGTCCGGAGTCCATAGGACTTGGTACATTCCCAGTCGGACTATGGACTTGGTACAACGTCAGTGAATGGACCATGTCCAGGATCCGACTCTGAAAATTACCATGCATGCTATGGACTCCGAACAAGGCGCATTCTTCTAGGACTTCCTACTAATATGACCAAGTTGCCAAACCAAAGTCAAACAACTTCTGTACAACGAAAGGAGATCGCGACCATACGAAAGGCCATACCATCCTGGTCTTCATAACTTCACCTTTTCGGTTTCCGAGTCGACCAATTCACGAGTTTAGTCCAAGCAACTTTGACCTAGAAACAAAGTACCAACCAGGGCTGTCAAGCCCTCGAATACGCCATTGAACTCCTGCCCAGCCATCACCCTTAGACTAGCATTCATAGGTTCCCCAGTTATCAGCAAATCTTGAATAATACTTGCAAGACGGGTTTGACTTCAGCCGAGAATGCTAAGGTCCAAACTGCAGTCCAGACCAGCGTGAATGAGACAGTGGTTTGGAAAGCAGAGATAAGGGAGACTCAATCGCAACGTGAGACATATTCACATAATTGTATGGGAAAATTCAACTATCACTCCTTCATCGGCCTATGCGACCTTGGTTGACGAAAAATCTTGATGTGAGGCAAAGTCAAATGAAAAATGCTCACCAGGTTGCCGTGATCGGTCCAAATCACCGCCCTCCTACTCAGAAAAAGTGGTACTATGCCAGATCTTTACAAATAGCTAAATTTCTTGTCTATTACAAGGAAAAAGTGCCAAGAATGCCCCAGTTCATAAAAGCAAAATACTAAAGAAAGTAAAAATAACCAAGGTGACCTACCTTAGAAACGATTGGATTACAAGGGCCGGTACGTTTGGGTAGTCTACGAAAGAGAAAAAAATAATATTAAAGAAACTGCCACCAAGAACATAAGCAAGGGTCAAATAGAAGCGTATCGGCAAAGAATAAAATGAAAAAAGGATTGTGATGAAAAATGAAAATAGCCTCAAAACTGAATCTTGGACAGACCCAGACTTAGCCTGTTTATAGCCGTTTACAGGTGCCATGTTGTCGCGTCAGCGCATGCCTAGAACTGTTGATCTGTCCGTAGGACGAGGTAGGTAGACGGACATCAGAGGAGTAGACAAAGACTGCAGGGATGGCCTTTCTGATTGGTTGCAGGTGAATAAGTTAACACACCCGGCACTGTTCACGTGGTCCGAGCATTAAAAGCCTCGAATTTGTACTTTTGATCCAGCCGAAGACCATTGGACGAACCGTGGCCAGGCTGGAAGAAGACACCGTTAGGACGGTACAATTGTTACGAGCCACAAGGACACAAATTGTAGACACGACAAACTTGCTTGTCTGCTTGTCTGCTTGTCTGGGTCTGCTATGCCGCTTCTGTACCACCATAGCAGAGGCAAAGCGATGCAGTGGAGCAAGAAGCCAAGTCTAAGCACTTAACAACTGGGTCGGGATGAATTTGCATGTGTAAGGAGTGAGAAGGTGTGTTTGAGCCGAAGTCTCTCCAAGGGTAAGGCCTCGTTGCACTTTTCCACTGCACTGAATTTGGCAGTAAACCACAGTTTGCCATAGAAAAATCTAAGCTTTCATGTCGAGTAAAAATGTATGAAGATGACGAGACTCGAAGATGGATACCACGAAAAATCGACGACTGTTTCCTCTCTAACAATTGTTGATTAATTTTAACGGGAAATTCTTGTTGACGTCGTCATCGCGGTAATCTTACTTGATTCAGATGAAAACGCGCAAAACTTTCGTTTGTCATGTGACGGGCATCATCAAATTGGGCTAGCATTCTTAAAACCACACTCAGGCTAAAAGGTCAAAATTATAAATATAAATATAAATAAATATATATATATATATATGGTATTTGTTTAGTCCAAGTAATGTGTCAATCCAGAAGCATGTGCGTGTGTCTGCTTGTGTGCCTTCAC